GTTGGGCATTTGTTTTTGATTAACCTCGGACAAGATTATTTTTCACATTCCGGCGCCCTCAATTGGGCTCGTCAAATTGTCGTTTTGGTACCCGACGTTTGTGTCCTCTTGCTCCCCACAATTGCTCTCTCCTCGCCCCAACTGGCCTACGCCAAGCCACCGGAGCCCTTTGGTCCCCTCCAGTTGCTCACCTCCGATCCCCTCCAACGCCCCTCCTCCCCCCCCACCTTCCCCCACACAAGACCTACAACGCCCAGATGCATGTGCAGACACGCGGATGCCCACATGCCAATCGCCAGATGAGCATGTGATGCGACTTTCACGCATCGGAAAATACGCCGTCTTCGCTGGTTCCACGCATGCCGGCCGGATTCGAGCTTTGCCGGCCCTCGATTGTGGCAAATGTATCCACTCTGAAGGGAACGGCTTCTCAAGTGGTTATTGCAATTGTTGCTCTTTCTTGAGTGGACTTAAAGGCGAGCGTATCTGGCTCGAATAAATGGGATTATCAGGAGGCCATGTCCACCTCTTGGCGTAAATTGTTCGACCCTCAACCCTTTAAGAGGTGCAATGAACCCTCTTGACTCTTCATCTGAGGCAAGCGAAGCGAATAAACATTTACACAAAGTTGACTTTTTATCCAAAGTCTGGATGAAGAGTATACTCCACTTGATTGAGATATAAAAAAACTGGGTTTCAAAAAAGATACATTGTGACATGACTTTCCCTCTCGAAGGAAAAGTTGGCTCGAACGAATCCGTGATGTGATCGCATCAGAAACGGAAGGAGGTTTTCTGCGTGTGAAGACTGTTGGATTGTGGGAAAAGGTCTTCGGCTCACTGTCCACTTGATTAAACCGTCATTTCATTAAACCCAGCTCGGATACGCTTCATAAGCACCCATTGTGGGGCTCGCTCCTAGGACCATCATACTCTGTTGAATCCTTGAACACGGTAATACCAACCTACCAGGTCATCTTATGTACGTATTTTAGGCAAAAATGATGCTTTTTTCGTTTTCA